AAGAATCTGGCTTCAATCACCAGAGATCTCCAGCCATTCAAGTCACCCCAGCTGGAAAATCTCTGCTGAGCCTTGCACAAATTGCTGACCCACAAAGCTAAGAACCACTATTACATTTCAGGAATAGCTGGTGAACACTCTCCTTGGGCTTAATTGCTTAGTCATTTCACAGTATTTACTGAAAAGCTTACAAAGGCATACACAGTATTTGCCAGCACTGCCTATTGAAAGAGAATTTTAATTAGGAAGAAATTTGTAATTATTTGGTGATAATCTATATAGTGAAGCAAAATAGTAATGTAATATAATGAAATGGTAATATAATAATATAATAAAAGGGAAATGTATACTTTTTTGTCACAGATATCTGAGATGTTATTATTGGGCAGTTCGAACTTTAATTACCATTGGAGGCCTCCCAGAGCCACAAACTACATTTGAAATTATTTTCCAACTTTTGAATTTTTTTTCTGGAGTGTTTGTGTTCTCCAGCTTAATTGGTCAGGTAAGTTGAATATGTACACCTAAATACATAGTGTTTTTATTTTTGAAAGGTTAATAAGTGTTTACAAATTTTATGGAGGAAAGATTAAAATTTATCTAGTGGTTATTCTTTGCCTTCTCCTCCTCTTCTAACTCCTCTACTTCTTTCACTAACTTTCATCTATCTTAATGACATGGAGGGGGACGTGATTGGGTCAACTCACACAATACATCCATGAATGTCCAGGGTCTGCTATATTCCAACGAAGTTTGGAAGCTATCAGTTCAGAAAAGAGAAGCTTCCTGGGAGGTTTATGGAGCAGGATGCATTTGAAACATCTTCAACAAACAGGTAGTATTCAGTAAACATAGACAGGTATTTCAACTGATCAGAAACAGTATGTGGAAAAGATGTCACAGAGACAGTGTGGGGAAAAAATGATAAAGCATGAGACAACTTCAAGAAAATAGAAGCAGTTTCAGTTCTAAACCATTAGATCCATCAGAAGAGCTACCATAAAAGTCCATTTTTCAAGAAAAGATACTTCTTTGTCAACTTCTTACTTGAAGCTTCCTTAAAGCTTTCTTATTTCCTTAAAATTCAAATGTTATCATAAAATCATTGGGTTAAAATCAACCCAATTAAACTACAAACTAAAAAATACATCTTAAATAACTAATAAATCATTGTTTTACCGATGTTTGCTATGGCATTCTGTCCCTCTTCTCAAGAGATTACAAAATAGTAAGAAAATAAAAAAAGTGCATAAATAGATACATTACAAGTTGAAAGAGACCAAAATCTCTGTGAATTCCCAGAATCACCATTAATGAAAAGTTCAACAGCAGAGCATCTTTAGAACTTTTACTTCCTCAGAAGATCCTTTATATATCACATGCTAAAAAGCAAAAATAAAGCCATGTCGAGGCATGGGCACTAGGTTAGATTACATCACAAAATGATTACTCCAACTAGAGAAACTCTTGGTTCCCACTCACCATGCTCACAGTAGTATGACTGAAACTCATTCTTTAACAAAATTTAGCAATCAAAAAATTATTCATTATGATATCTGACACTATTCAAAAGCAGTGAAAACTTACTCGTCAATGTCCACGTTCTGCTATACACAGCAAGCTCCAGAGGAGTTTGGGAGCTATCAGTTCAGAAAAAAAGGAAGCTTCCCAGGAGGTTTTGTGGAGTAGGATGCATCTGAAGCATCTTCAAAAACCAGGTAGTAAGCATAAACAGGTAGTTCAATTGATCAGAAACAGTGTGTGGAAAAGATGTCACAGAGAGAGTGCAGGAAAAGATGATAAAACGTGAGACAACTTCAAGAAAATGGAAACAGTTCCAGAACAACTGGAGAGAACACGTGTAACTAAGAGCTATATGTAAAGATAAGATATTTTAAGGGCTCCGGATGTTAAAGACGTTGAACTCTTATCTTGAAGGCAATAGAAGCCAGACAAGAGATGATTTTTTTTTTTTTGAGAGAGAGAGAGAGAGAGAGAATTTTTTTAATATTTATTTTTTAGTTTTCAGCGGACACAACATCTTTGTTTGTATGTGGTGCTTAGGATAGAACCCGGGCCGCACGGATGCCAGGTGAGTGCGCTACCGCTTGAGTCACATCCCCTGCCCCAAGAGATGATTTTGAACAAAGATTCAAGGAAAGCCAGTTAAAATATAATGAATTGGAAATTGGGATACTACTTTAAAACAGAGGTTTTATTATTATTTAGTTATGGTAAGACTCACAATTTATGGTATATGGTAGTTGGTTATACTCATAGGGCTCAGGAGGAGGGAGCCCGTCATACCATGGTGGGGAGGATGAACAAAATGGGAAAGCACAGCTGGGGAACAGGAGAGGCAGGATAAGCAGGGTTAGTGTTGGCTTGTTTGAATAATTTCCGCATGCTCTGAGGTGTAGGACTGTCTCTATTTATCTGGTATCCAGCACTGTTGAATGGGACTGTGGGTAGAGGCCTAAGTGTGAGACAGTTGGAAAAATGGGATCTGGTTCAGTTACTTTGCATATGAGACACTCTTGGTAGAGGTGATCACTATCTCTGGGAATTAACTAACCCTGGGAGGTGCAAGCAAGGCCCCAGACAGCAGCATATTAAAATACGGAGAATTAAAATATGTTTAATGCAGATACACAGAGGTACGGCAATTCCAGCCTAGACACATCAATGGCCTGGAGAGAGAGGTTGTAAAGGAAACTCCATTAAGAAAATATTTAGGGGGCTGGAGATGTGGCTCAAGTCGTAGCGCGCTCGCCTGGCATGTGTGTGGCCCGGGTTCGATCCTCAACACCACATACAAACAAAGATGTTGTGTCCGCCGAAAACTAAAAAATAAATATTAAAAAAATTTTCTCTCTCTCTCTCTCTCGCTCTCGCTCTCTCTTTAAAAAAAAAAGAAAATATTTAGGTACTGGAAGTTAGATATAAAGCAGTTAAAAACTATAAGTATAGGGCTGGAGATATAGCTCAGTTGGTAGAGTGCTTGCACAAGGTCCTGGTTCAATCCCCAGCACCACAAAAATAAAAACAACTGCAAGTATAAAATATCATAATCTTAGTGGCTGGAGAAATTGTATTAGTGGTTGAAATATGAAGCTGGTTGGAGAGAAAATTTAAATCAACTTGAATATAAATAGCAAAAATCACATTTCATAATTTTTCATAAAATCAATATGAGGTAGTCATATCCTATTCATTGTTTTCCCTGTTTTACAGAGGTAGAAACTCCAATTTAAAGATTTTTAAGATGCACCCCGTAATTCATACATGTAATCATACAGGTATATGATAGAGGCATATATAATAATTTTAAAATCTAACACATATTGAGCACTTACCAAGTCCAAGGCAGTTTTCACAACAAGACTAAGAAACAATGTCTATCTGGTACCAGTTCAATTCTCTTGCTGCTCTAAGTGTAGCCTTTGGAAAAGCAGCAGCAGCAGCACTTGAAAAATTCAGAACTCAGGTCCTGCTTCAGACCTACTGAGTCAGAACGTGCATTTTAACAAGAATTTCACATGATTCTTAAGCAAATGAAAGTAAAAAAGTGTTGTTTTATATACCACACCATACCATGCCTGTGTTTAAATTGAATTCGAGGTTCCAACAGGAACAGAAGAAAATATCAAGTCATTGAATATATTGCACCAGAGCACAAGAGAAAGATTAAACTTGGAGGTATAGATTTGTACCTTAAACTCTCATCTTGAATAAAAATACTTAGAAACAAAGTAAAAGAGCTTGAGACAAAATCTAAATTTACTCAAATTCCCACAGATAGTCATATCAGTGACTAAACCCTGAAACTAATCATTACTTTTTAACCACAATATTCTATTCCCTGATGCAACTTATAGAGCCTGAGATTTTCTAACTCTCCTATCCTCAAGTGTTTCCCTAGGCTGGGACCCATCATGGAATACAACAAGACTTCTTTAACTCCTACACCAGCAAAACCCAACATTGTTGAAGAATACCACACAAAACACTCAGATTCCATTCACTACAAATTTGTGGGCCCTCAACACCCAATCAGTGTTTTTGTAGCTCAGTGGTAAAACACTTGCCTAGCATGCATGAGGTCCTGGGTTCAATCCCCAGCACCACAAAGAAAAAAAAAAGCTAGGGAAGGAGGTGGGGGAGGGGGGCAGAAGGGGGAAAAAAAGGAATAAGAAATGTCTTAAACAGTCCTGACTTCCCAACTAACACCCTATTAAATCTCACAACTCAATCCCTACAATCCTTAATATTCCAAGTCTTCCATCCTTAGGTAATTACATGATGTTTTCCATCTACAAAGAAATGCATGGAAAACTGAGATCTAGAAATTGAGATTATGAAAAAAATATTTGGAAGAGTCATTGAGAAGTAAGAGACTCAGAAAGATGGACACAGTTGGATAATCTACCTGGCTCCTCAATAAACATTTTTTTTTAATTTTTATTGTTGGTTGTTCAAAACATTACATAGTTCTTGATATATCATATTTCACACTTTGATTCAAGTGGGTTATGAACTCCCAGACATTTTTGAGAAGTAGAAGACCTTATTGACTCTTAAAACTGGAAACTGACGAAGGCATCATTTGAGCTAGAATTCAAAGAATGAGTAGGATTTTTTTTTTTTTTTGTAAACATTAAATGCTCAGCAGCTACTAGAATGAATGAGCAAAGTCTTAGTGTGAAAGTGAGGCCCTGGTTTTCTTCCCTGTTATAAACCCACAGTCAAAGCAAATTTACAACCACTTGCTTCCTTCTATGCGAGAGGAAGAGTTGAGCAATATATCTTTTTTTGTGCTGAGACCTTAAAGATCAGCTTTTAACCTAGAGTGGATTTTTATGGCTGAGTTATAAACATCCAAGAACTAAAACCTGACAGTTCCTTAAGTATTGTCACAGCAGTAGATGATGCTTCAGTAATTTTAGCACATTTCAACTTCTGCTGAATACTATGCCTAAAGCATAATGAGATTTGATTTTTATCTGTCTAAACAACACAAAGGGAAGTACAAAGGTTGCAATTCCATGATGAATTGAGTCTACATAGCCATCTACATGGATAATCTATGAAGGATGCTTTCAAAGTAAGACTGACCCAAATGGACTAGCCATTCTGTCAGATAATTGCTAATTTCCATTGCACGTTCCTTGTATACACACAAGCTGTATGATTTTTTAAATATCAACTAACATTTCATAGCAATATACAAGTACACAAAGAGGATTCTTTTTGTTTGTTTTAATTAGTTATACATGACAGTAGAAAGCATTTGTGCACTTTGATACATAGTTGGGATATCATTTCTCATTTTTCTGATTATACATGTTGCAGAATCATATTGGTCATGCAGTCACATATATACATACAGTAATAATGTCTGTTTCATTCTACTATATTTCCTATCCCCACATTCGCTCCCCTCCCCTCCCATCACCTCCCTCTACCTAATCTAAGGTAACACTATTCTTCCATAGTGCCCCCCAT